TGCTTGGTAGGTCACCGGTAGTGATAATGTCAAGCTACAAGTTTCCCAGTGTATGTGGATATTTGCGCAGGTGTGTATTTGTGTAGGTGTGTGTTTTGCACTAATGTATTAGCAGTATTAATGTGTAATCTGATCTCTGATCTGGACTGAACATGGATTACAGGACTCGGGTCAGGCGCTACAAACAAGCCCAGCACTCAATCCAACTCTCCCTCTGTTTCTATCTGTAAATCTTCCGTCTTTTAACAAATGGACTGTCAGGCCAGTGTCCAGGTCAAGGACAACTGATACTCATTATTATATACGCAGTCCATCTTTGTCAAGGCTCGTCATGCTTAGATCGCTAATAACAGTTGCCATCATTTTCCTTACAGTGACACGGACGTCACACATCCAGCCGTCCATTAAATTCTCCCACACACACTCATGTTCCCTCTCCCTCGCTCTGCTCTGACACGGTCATCTATCAGTGATCCATAATTCACTCTTTTCTAATATCACATATAGAACTACTGTCCACGTGTCCCCGAACTGAGAAACGAGAAACGAGCTCTCCCAATCTCTCACACACACAGAAATGCACTGCTGGTCATTACGCCTTTGGCACTGAATTAATGGAGGTGGTGGTTATTATTAGGAGTTATTTAAGGAAACACATTTCACAGATTCATTAATCTCACACTTCCCAGAGATGCTTTAATCTTTAAAACAGTGAGCGAGAGACAGAGGGAATGAGAGAGAGAGACTTACCTAGCCATAACCTCAAGAGGCTCCTTCCTGCAGGTGACAGAAACAACACACATATTTAGTTTGACCAGATCACATTTATGACAACAAAACTCTCTTCATTTGCACCAAATGACCACTAGAGTGTGTTTGAGTATACACTTGCACAAACGTATATTCATATAACCGGTAATATTGGTAAATAATTCTGAAATTAATTGAATGTACCAAAAATAATTAAACATATCAATAGAATAGTGTAAGATATAGTTTGCTTATTGGTTACTAACTGAAATCACAATGCCAAATATCAGTAAGGAAGCACAGCAGCTACATTTAAAAGACATTTTTAAAAGATTTCAAGACTTAGCATTTATTTTTATATTTAATAATAATTACTATTTGGGTTCATTTAGATTTATTTCAGTTTTAGTTTTTATTTATTTCAAGTTGGCCACTTCAGTGCTTCAACTTATTTCAGTTAGTTGCCAAAGCAACGTTCCTATTTTCCATTTAATGTTTTTCATGTAATATTTCAATCTTATTTTATTTTCGCTTTATTTCAGATAATAGACATGTATTTAAAAGTTTTAGTCCTGCTCCCAAACTCAGCCATTAGTCAATCGAAGAACATTTTTGTGTTTTCTGACAGATTTAAAAAAAAAAAAAATTTATTTGTTAAATGTAACAAATAAATTACATTTATTAGAGTAGTGTCCAGGCTCTTAAAAGTGTAAAATGGACCTATATTTGTATGCATTTGTCCCTGTCTCGGATAATCAGTAGTGATTATTTGAGACTGCGTTAATTCAAGAAATTATTAAACAAGCACCACATTTTGCACTGATTTATTGAAAGCCAATTTCACATTTTGAGAAGATATAAATATGCTCAAATATTGCTTATTTACTGCAAATGTTTTTTTCTTCTTATATTAATACACTTTATATCTTGTATTCAGGCTCTAACCAAAGAATTTTTTTACAATTATGATGAATAAGTAAATTGTGCACGCACAGGTGTGAGTACCTCCCTGTAACCTCTAGCAGACCTCTAGATGATGCTGTCTCTGCATGCAGACAAACACACACATATGGAAATAAACAAAATAAATGAACATTAAAAAGAGATGCACGTAAAATCATGAGAATAAGTGAAATCTGTCATGAGTATCTGTGAAATCATAAAACAACCCAGGCATAACATGAAATAATGATGATGACGACCAACATAAAGGCAAGTCCCTGTGAACTAAAATATATTCAAATGATTTTTTTTGTGAGCGATGTATGTGTATGATACCTGAAGCATGGCAGAGAGATCACAGTTTCATAGAATCTCCATGTGGCGATGAGATCGTCTCTGACGGGGTTGGTGGAGTAGTATCTCCATGCAGCCTGAAATCAATATTCAGTATTGAATATTAAGCAAATGTGCAGTTGAGGAATGCGCCTAAAGGGGTGAATTTACTGCTGATTTAAGTTTGTTTTTGGTTACCTGTATTAATGAAGCTGCAGGATTTCTGCGTTTCTCAAAGTGTTTCTGCCTGTGCTGTTCCTGAACTTTCAGAGCCAACCCAGAACCAAGAATACCCTACAAACATAACCAGATTTTAGCATAAACTGGTAGGCTATTTTTAAAATAGCATACTGTCATACCTAACCATTTCCACACCGAATTATGTTACATTTGCATTTAGTCATTTAGCAGACGCTTTTATCCAAAGTGTCTTACAAATGAGGACAACAGAAACTATCAAAACCAACAAAAGAGCAATAATATGCAAGTGCTATGACAAGTCTCAGTTAGCCGAACGCAGTACACATGTTTTTTTGTTTGTTTTTATATAATAAATAAGAAGAAAACAAGTAGATAGAATAGAAAAAGAATAGTGTTAGAGGCCTTTTTTTGAAAACAAGCAATTAGAAAACGAATAGAGAGTGCAAGTGTTAAAGGTTCAAAAAAAGATGGAGATGGCTAAGGACTGAGCTGCTCGGATCTCTCTTATGAGTCAGTTTGTGTTAGTGAATCAAACACATTCAGCTTACAATTTGTGCTGCACTTCCCTGTAGAAAAAACAGCATATGCTGGTTAGGTATGTTTTAAAGCATGGCAGCTGGTTTGAGCTGCTTTAAGCTGGTCCTTAGTTGGTCATGAGCTGGTTTAAGCCGGTCCTAAGCTGGTTATAAGCTGGTTCTGAGCAGGAGCTAGTTGCTTAGGACCAGCATATGACCAGCTTAAACCAGCTCAAACCTGCTTCAAAACATACCTGACCAGCATATGCTGTTTTTTTCAATAGGGTTAAATCTTCTGAGACTGATTGTTTTGCTGCCCATATGACACTGTGTAGTTAAAGATGCATATAATGAGTTTTGTCAATAATATTTTATATAAAATTAATGAATAAATTAAATGTTTGCAATATCAAGCAACATAACAGACTGTTTTTGTAGAGCTAGAATAATAACTGGAAGCAGATGACACCGTAAGTTACAAGCCGTACCTGCTCTTACGTTAAAAATAAGGTGGATAGTCAAGCAATTATACTGTAATTTGTAACAGCGAAAATGCATTTTTGGAAAGAAAGAAGCTGTACTCACGGCTGGAAGAGCAAAAAACGACACACCAATAAGAGCAAAGGTCCCGGCCAGAAGACGCCCTGCCCACGTCTTTGGGGTCTTGTCACCGTAACCGATGGTTGTCAAGGTGATCTGACAAGAGTGAAATCATATGTCGTCAGTGTGATTAAGGCTAGCACGGCTAAGAGGCTATCAAAGTACTTGAGCTGTAAAACCATTAAAAAGGCAGTATTAATGGAGCTGCTGTAAGTGTCACGAAAGGTGGTATAAATGGGGCTGCTATAAAACCATCACAATCAGTAGTACTAATGGAACCGATGTAAAACCGTCACAAATGGTAGCTGCAGTCAAAAGAATTGCCGTGCACTTTTGAACTTGTGACACACAATGGTTCAGATTTTCTTTCCTATTAAATTGACTTTCGCTTTTCATCATGGAGGAAAGCTTTTATGCATCTTCACCCATGCAGCTCAAAAAATGCTAAAATCATTGAACAAGTGCATTTTTTTTTTACAATTATATTTTTGTTATAAAAATATAGCTGATGTTTTCAGGAGAGTTTTCATACATTCACTCATAAAAACTGAACAAAGTAACATTACACACAGCCCAGTAATACAATGCAGGTTTTGTACAAACTTTAAAGTGGCAATGTATGAATTTGAAAAATGAGCAGCTCAATAATGGAGCCAAATGTAGCTTAAATCACTAAACCGGTACATAAAAATGTCAAGAGTTAGTTTTCTTTTATTTTTACTAAATTTATCTTAATTATAAGTGTAGAGCTGATTCGATTCAGTCAAGCTATCATATATTTGCTTTAAAAATAATAATAATAAAAAAAAAGTAATAATGTCAGCTTGGTACAAACTTTAAAGTGGCCTTCAAAGCGTATTCATTTTAAAAATGAGTTACAATAGAGTGGTGGAACTATGATTTCACTTTGTAGGCAAAAACCCGGAAGCGAGTTAGCATTTTAGCACTTCCGGTTCCATTGTCCCAGAGTCAATGGGTTTTTTGAATGGGAGTTTGGTTAAATCCTCTAAAATAAGGTCCGTGGTTCACACAAGTTCAAGATACTTTCACATTTATTCTGCGACATAAAACACACCAGTAACACCCCACTCGTGAATTTTTAAAACTGTTACTTTTCTTTAAAAAGACGGTTGCTAACAAATTGCTAAATGGGACTACAGGTGCTGTCGGAGACATTAAAAGTCATCACGCCGAATAGTTGATCAATTTACATTATTTTCCAATTGTAGTATAATTTATAGTACAATTAATTGTAGAATAACCAATTAATAGTTTCCTGCATTTTATATTGTTATTCGACAATGTTGTTTTGCTTTGCCCCGAAATGCAACACAAGTGTTCGGATGGAAGATGCTTGTTTTATCGCTTTCCTACTGATACAGAGACTCTGGGTTCGTACCATAAGGTAAACTCATATTACGATTATTCCATATAAACATCACATTTACCGGATTTACCGTCACGGTGAAAGTGAAACTTTAACAATGCATAGCGCTTAAAGCCACATTAAAGGTGACATATCATGAAAATCTGACTTTTCCAGGTTTTAAGTGCTATATTCAGGTCCCTGGTGCATCTACCAACCAAGGAAACGTGAAAAAGATTAACCCAATCACAAGCGCGTCTCATTTCGCTCCCTTGGTGACGTGGCAAATGGATCTCATTATAATATTACTGCCCCTTAATCTGTAAACTTCCACTCAAGGCACCGTCATTTTGATTTCGCAAGCAACAACGGTGTACCAGTTCTAATGCCGTGGCGAAAGTTTGAGCAAACCATACTAACTGTTCTGTCTTTGGCTGCACTGACAAGCACAGAACACTGTTTAGATTCCCAGCCTCAGAGGAGACAACAGAGCAGTGGATTTATTGATTTATTTAGGCTACTGTATATTGCTGCTGCCACACAGATCTAAAATAAACGTGATTTATTTCCCAGCTGTTTACCTTCACAGACATAACCCACTGTTTTTGTAACTCGTGTGTTTTTAAGGTAAACTTAGTACTCACATGCTGTGACAGCAGCTTTCTGTCCGTGTGCTTCGGATGTGTGCACTCAGAAAACCTTATATCTGAAGTTTAAACTCATATGGTTTAAAACGCATGATTTCAGCGCGATAAACATGATAATCAGAACCAAAACAGATGTTTTTAGCAAGTCCGAGCTGTAATGGCGCAGCTCTATTCTGGAAAAGGGGGCGGGGAGCAGCAGCTCATTTGCATTTAAAGACAAAGGCCCGAAAAACAGCTTGTTTCTGCTTCCACTCAAGATAGGCATTTTCAAAATTATATAATAAATGATCTGTGGAGTATTTTGAGCTGAAACTTCACATACACATTCTGGGGACACCAGAGACTTATATTACATATTGTAAAAAGGGGCATACTGAAATGTGGTACTTTATTCACTAAAATAAGTTTAATCTTACCATATCCAAAAACTCGTTCACTCTGCTGTTATTTAATAGAATAAATGCACTAGAATTTTATTGAATAGTACGTGGAGATACTTTTTTAATTAAAATATTCATATTAATCAAGGATTTATTGACTTTTAATGCACCTTGTTTCGAAATGTACAGAAATACATGCTTTTACATGTCCTTTAGTTATGATTATTTCATTTATTCACTATACGATTTATAACAAGGTCTCATTTCAGTTTTAGTTTGGCTCTAGTTTTGTATTTATTCCAGTTTATATGAAAAGGTTCATGTAGCGTGGGTTAAAATTCATATACAGAGTAAATCCTTTTCACTGAACATTGTTAAAAATACGTTTGAAAAAGTTGTCGGGAGCAGGTGGTGGTGACGTTGAAGGCAAGCGAGCGACCGTGGTGCTGTAGTTCGTTTATAGCCTATGTTTAGCTTTTAAGTTATGGCGCTTTTATTTAGGCTTCAAAATTCATAAAAGTTATATTATTTTGTGAAGATTATCTTGATGGACAAAACATGTAAATTTCATGAACTTTGATTGAACACAGAGTTTATTATTTGCGATAATCCTGGTATAATAATGGAAAAAGCCAATTGGCTTTTTGTCGAGGGAACCAGTGTGATGCTAACAGCCGATCCCCCTACAAAGTGACGCCATAGTTCCCCCACTCTATTAAGCTAAAATCACTGAACAGGTGCATCAAAATGAGTGAGCTTTTTTTCTTTACTATATACTATATTATAGATAGCAGGGCTCCAGACTCATTCTTCCCACTGGTCGCTCTTTTGCAACTAACTTTCTCAGCTGGCCGCATGAACACATGATTTGGTCGCAATATTTTTTGTATATTTTTTTTGCGCTACAACATTGGATTATTCAATGCATGCTGATTAACTTTTATCATAGTTTATAGTTATATGGAAACGAAAGTGGTTAACATTCATCCCGTTCTTTATCATCAGTAATATTTTTTATTTGAATTTTGTGAATGGGAGTTTCTCTTTTGCTGTGTTAAGCCGCGGGCTTCGGAAGCTTTCACTTTCGAATTCGCGATCTTGTTGTCACTGTTTTGCTTACATACATCTACACACTTTTCATTTTTTAAGACTAAAACAAAAGATGGATTCATTGTCATTCTTAATTAAAAAGCACAACAACAATAAATCAGTAAGATACAATGACAAACTAGCTTACAAAACGTTTATTAACAAAAACAAATAAGATGAGGCAAGGCACACACCACATGCTGTATTATATACCGACTAATAAATTACAGAACGTTTAGCAAACACTGAGGAATCAAATAAATAAAAGAGAGCCTCCATAGCGTAATGTGAGGTAAACAGCAAAGGTAACAAGTTTTTCAAAAATGAAAAAGCAAAAAGAAAAGTAAAACTAACGGTGACAGTGCTTGCATGTTCCCCCCCCCCACAAGAATACCAGCATGTTCACCTTCTCTGGTTTAAGAAGCGGTCTTTTACTTGACTTTCGCTTGAAAACCATCCATCGCTTCCTCAATATGCGCATCATTTTTGTTGCGTGCACCTTTGCACTCGTGCTGACGCGGCGAGTAAACTCTCTAAGCGCTGTTTCGTTATGCTTTCAGTTTCGCTTGCCGTTTGATGTTTCTTATATGCAACAGAAATTGCAGAGCTTATGAGTTGACCAACGCGGTGGTCGCGCCAGTGCGACCGCACACAAAATTTAGTCGCACAGGCAGAAAAAATGGTTGCAGTCTGAATAGATAGATCGATAGATAGATAGATAGATTTTTACTTTACTTCCTTATATCCAAAATCTGAGTTTGCTACCTCAGTTTGAATTAATTTAAAAGGCATTCTCAAATCAACTTAAAGAAAGTTCTGAATGCGAGTGCATTGTCTCTCTCACCAGTCCCCACCAGAGGGCATCTGCATAGGTGTCAAAGTCCTGTGGGGCTGGTGTTGGGGAGGGGCCCTCGGTGTATGATGGCTCCACGATGACATCATCCTTCTCAACCAGGTACACCAGGAAAGAAGCCAGGATCAATGACAGGAAGCCGATGTACCACGCTGTAATCAACTCCTGACCGCACACACCAGCCGGGAAACACACACACACACACACACACACACACACACACACACAGCAGTACTGAGATCAAACTTCACCAGACACTGATATCTGATTGTTTGTGCTTGCGTATGTACTTTGAATGTCTGTGTATCGCAGACCATAGCATTTTTGAGGAATGAGTGTGTGTCTACTTGGGATTGTGTGCACATTGCCGACCGACCCCATCGGTTAATTTGAGCATGCTTGACATGATTTGAACAAGCAAGATGTGCTCTTAGATGTTGATCAAGAGGGAATGGCCTGTTGGTGTACATCACATCATGTGTGTGGATACCTTGCTGTGTGTGTATATTGCAGATCCCAGCAGTTTCCAGGTGCCTCCGCGGCGGTCCATTCGTAGCATTCGAAGGATCTGCAGGAAGCGCAGACTGCGCAGCGACGTGGCCAACACATTTCCCTGGTTTCGTACAGCAACCACCGGCACCGAAGCAATCAGTACAAAGATATCTGACAACATAGAGACAGAACATAGAGAACATATAGCCTCTTATGCTCATTAAAGCTGCATGTATTTGATTAAAAATACAATAAAAATTCACTAAATATTGTGAAATCTTATTACAATTTAAAATAAACATTTTCTATTGAATATATTTTAAAATGTAATTTATTCCTCCGATGGCAAAGCTGAATTTTTCAGCGTCACATGAGCCTTCAGAAATAATTCTAATATGCTGATTTAATTAACTTATTATCAATGTTGAAAACAGCTGTGCTGCTTAATATTGTTATGGAAACTGTGACACATTTTTTCAGGATAATTGATGAATGGAAAGTTCAGAAAACAGCATTGATTTGAAATAGAAATCTTTTGTAACATTATAAATGCCTTTACTGTCAATTTTGATCAACTTAATGTGTCTTTGCTAAATGAAATTACTTTCTTTCAAAAAACTCCCAAACGTTTGAATGTAGTTGTGTATGTGCTGTATGTGTATGTTTCAGTGTGACTGTTTTTGTTTGGGTCAGTGTGTTTAACTCACCCAGGACACACAGCGGTTTGCGGGCGAATTTGAGCCGTCCTCTCCAGCCCTTATATCGACAGCAGCAGCCAGCAGCCCATATCCTCAATGCAAACTCGCCTCCAAAAATAAAGATTGTAAATGTCTCCTACAGGTGAGAGAAACATTGTCATATTCCTCTCAACTATTAAATCTCACACACAAACACTGCATTGGCTATGAACATAAGGCACACACTCACCAGAATCACCAGCCAGTGAGCCGAATCTTTCTCATGCTCTTTGAACGTTGTTAAAATTGACAGAATCAGGCATCCCAAAACAATCAGAAACCTAGAAATTCAGAGAACAGAGAGTGAGCGGGAGCTTCATTCAGTGTATAGATAGGTAGGTAGTTAGGTAGGTAGGTATAGATAGATAGATAGATAGATAGATAGATAGATAGATAGATAGATAGATAGATAGATAGATAGATAGATAGAACAACAGACAGACGATAGCTAGATAAATAGATAGATAGATAGATAGATAGATAGATAGATAGATAGATAGATAGATAGATAGAGCTGTGGGGAAAAAAACGGAATGAAGATCTTTTTTAGTTGCTATGGATACCTCAGCTGAGTCATGATAAAATCTTTTTTTTTTCTATCTCAGAAAGACCTGCTACCTTTAGATATAAACGCTCATGGTATCATTTTACCAGCAGAGGGGGCTGGTGAATATACTGCACTGTATTGGGAGAGAGAGGGATGTATTGGATATATCCTCCCTTCTCACACACACTTGCACAAAAATCCTATTACCAGATGCTGAGCTGGTAAGATTTACAAGCTTATTTTTTTACAACAGGTAATCAGAAACCTGGTGCTACTGTATACTGTATAGGCTGCTCATTCATTTTCCTTCCTGAATATCAAGCCAAACAAAGATGCATGCTGTGCTCTGTCACTAACCTGGATATTTAATTATGTTCTTTAAATTCTGTCATCATTTACTCGCCCACATGTCTTTAGAAACCCATAATATGATTTGTATGCTTCATAAAAAGACAAAAAAGACACCATAAAAGAAGCATAATAGAGTAAGAGTGAAGGCAGGAGTTTTCAGCAAAAACCAAGTTGGCATGAAATAAAAATTCTTCCTATCAATGCGATAAATCAACGCTTATCTTATTATTCGCCTATGCATGTCTCATTTTTCAAAACGTTTTTTTTTTTCCTTCCAGTGAACTTAGATACTCATCTCTGGTAAAGTATGCAGTTCTGTATAGAACTGTTTAGTCCAACACTTTCTCACAATCGACTGTAAGCTTACATTCAGCCTCCAACCAATAAATGTGTGTAATGATGTGTGTATGCAAGTGACTGTCCTCCGATGCCATTTTCTGCAGTGTTGTTCTGTTACATCTGGGAATCTAGCTGTACTGTGTGGCATCCAGCAGAGCACACATGCAGACTCACATATTTCCCTTATCATCCTCACTCTATTCGTCAGTTGACCTGTTGTCAGTTTCTATGGTTTTGCATTTGTAGGTTATGTCTGTGCTGTTTCCATGGTTACACATATTCATCACACACACATATACACAGTCATACACACTGCTACATGCTCAGCATCTGGTCTTCAGTGAAAGCTTTTAACATCAGCACACTAATAACCTATAATGGTCATACTACTCTCTCTCTTACTGTGTGTCGACTGAAGTGTGCAGGGTTTTCTTGAAGAGTGATGCTTCCCTCAACAGAACAATGGAATGCCACGACTCTCAGAGTGCTCATTCTCAACTGTTGCTCTAAAATATGATTATGTTCTTAATAAAAATGGCTATTAAGAGAGAAAACCGCTCTACAACCTAGAATGTAGAGATGATTATGAAACAATATGGCTATATATAACTAATCTAGGCTTAAAAATTGATCAAGCGAATGTGTTTTAGATAAATAAATCCACATATAAAGTGTTATCCACACAATAATTTTCTTAATAATTTTTATTAATTATTATTAAAAAGACAAAAAATAAAACAATACAAAAATATATAAATATAAATAAATAAAATAAATAATTATTGTTAAACATTTGTGTCCCTTTTCTGCTCTCTTTGACTATTAAAATTTCACAGGGAATTTTTGGTGTGAGGTGAGCAATGCATCTAATATTACATAATCAAATGTTTGTGAAGTCTATAATGTCAAAGCTTGAAAAATAACGGTGGTGTCTTATTTCATAATCAAATCAGATGACTGCATTCCAGCAACAAGATGCATGTGTGTGATCACCCAATAGGCATCTCTGATGTGTAACCGTTAATAGTCATGTGCTGACGCATTCATTTGTCACAAAGTTGGTTACAAAGTTGAGAACATTCTCTGTGAGTTGAGTCATTTTTGCAGCTTGGTTTCAATTCAAGTATTCCCCAACATAGAGAATCACAAAAAACAAAACAAAACAAAACAAAAAGAGCAAAGCAAAGCAAAAAAACAAAACAAAAACAAAAAAGCAAAGCAAAGCAAAAAACAACAAAAAAACAGATACATTCATATAAAACACCCGCACCGCGTTTTGATTTTGAAACGTGTAGTGCTCATGTTTATTCAACGAAGTCAAACGCCACAAATAAATCAATGTACGTCATGGGAAACACCGGTAATGTATATCGAAATATCGGAAATGTGTTTAAAAATCATATCACCATTATTGAAAAAAATTATATCGCAACACATATTGATATTGAATTATTGTCCAGCCCTAGGTAAACATGATCAGTGCTACTACTACTAATTAATCTACTACTGTTACAATCTACCATAGAGGCCCATTTTTTTAAATATTCCATATATACAGGTGCATCTCAATAAATTAGAATGTCGTGGAAAAGTTCATTTATTTCAGTAATTCAACTCAAATTGTGAAACTCGTGTATTAAATAAATTCAATGCACACAGACTGAAGTAGTTTAAGTCTTTGGTTCTTTTAGTTGTGATGATTTTGGCTCACATTTAACAAAAACCCACCAATTCACTATCTCAACAAATTAGAATAAATTTATTTAATCCACGAGTTTCACAATTTGAGTTGAATTACTGAAATAAATTAACTTTTCCACGACATTCTAATTTATTGAGATGCACCTGTATGAACGTTAAGGGAACATTCCATTTTATTATTTTGTAAACATTATGGGAATGTTACGTAAATGTTCTCTGAACATTCTGAAACAAGTAGTAACATTTAAAAAATGTTACACAAATGTCCAACTAAAACGTTTCAGAAAAATGTTCCATAAATGATCTATAAATATGTTTTTGTGCTATTGTTTTGAAAACATTGTTAAAGACCAGATAATTTTCAATTAACATTCTATTAACTTTACTGAAAGAACGTTTGTTCACAACTTGCCAGAACGTTAGCCGTTCCCGAGGGATTTACTCTATTCTACAGAACGAAATTCTACAGTATTTCTCATTTCAGTCTCTTTTTGGGTCTAAAACATAAAAATCAAGAGAACAGCAGAAGTGCAGGAAACATAAATTGTCCAAAACCCAAAATACTGTGCATGTCTTCGAAAGAGAGAGTCTGTCATGGAAGCTTCCCTATGCCTGTGTTCTGTCTTGGTAATGCTGTGAGAGTAATGTGTGTGTGTGTACATGTGCATCTGTGAGAATGTGTGTGTAACTTGGCTGTTTGTCTGATCGATGTTGAGGGCATATTGGCTGTAATGGGAGCATCAATATATGAGGTGAGTCATAACAGGACACATCAACATTTATAATAAAACACACACAGCTGTGCGGTTCTGCCCCATAGCATGCTGGATACAAGAGTGAATTATTCTGTAGTACTTGTGAGGAAAAGAGAAGGAGCCAGCGAGAGAGCGAGAGAGAGAGAGAGAGAGAGAGAGAGAGAGAGAGAGAGATGTAGCCCCATTAGAGGTTATTAGTGAGGTGGATGTTAAAAGCACAGTATTTCTCTGCTGATTTCAGGGAACAGCACATTACAGCTCTCACCGGAGACCAGAGCACAAAGCAGCAAGCATGTGCAGACAAGAGCTTCAAAACCCCCCCAAAATGGGTTTCCAGGTCTATTTTGTTTGGCTGATTTTAAAATACTTATGCTGCAGGGTTATTAGTATTATTTAGACAAACTGAACTGAAAATGTGTATTATGTCTTGAAATGACTTATCAGAGTCATGAGGTATGTGCCCCCTTTGTGATTTTTTTAGATATCTGTATGGTTGTAGTTTTTTTAAACAAAATGTAACGTTGCACAAAAAGAACCTAAATGGAAAAGTAAATATAGTGAACATACACTCATATCACCACTGTGAAAAAGTAAATGCCATATTAAACCTAATATCTGCTTGGATGACAATTAACTGCAACTAAACACCTCCACAAGTTTGTTCAGAGCTTTGCTTGTCTCTGCTGAGGAACTCATTCTTCTTTGAAAAACACTCTTTTAACCCTGACAAACTAGGTCTTCAAGTGTGAAATGTTTTTTCACGTCCCCCTTCCTCTCTATAGGATTCAACTCAGAACTTTAACTAGGCCACTCTAAAACTTTACTTTCATTTCCTTTCAGCCACTGAAATGACGATTTGAGTCCCGAACACCGACCTAAGCTCATGCTTGAGATGCCTGCTGTTGTTCTGGGATCTTTTGAGACTTCCGGGATCAGGAGCTGCCATGTTCTAGGGAGAAATTTTTGTCCAGTCAACCACTTCTGGGAATATTCACCACTACTCTATTTGCAGGTAATGGATTGCACTGTGGTTCAACAGAGGCCAAGAAATGGACTTTGTAACCCTTTCCAAACTAAAGTAGCTCAATTTTTCTTCAGTGGTTTCTTTAATTTGGGCATGTGAACATGTGAACACTCGTCTCAAAAAAGGTTTGTCCATTTAAATTCAACATGGCAGGCTGCAGTAAAGTCTGCCTGTGATAGTCTCCTAAATCTAACTGCCAAGTGCCAAACTAATTTTTTGTTCCTTTCTTGATTTCAAGTTCAGTTACTTTTTCTCAGGGGCAGTATAGGTGTTCTGTGAATTTTTCTAGTAAACAAATGAAATGCTGTAAAAACGGTCAGAAATGTAATGTGATAACATCCACTGAGATTAAATTGGACAGTTGTGATTAAATAATATGAAATATTATATCAAATATATAATAGTATGCATAAAATAAATATTTAAAATATAAAATGTTTTATTTTATGTCAAAAACGCAATGTGATAACACAAAAACATCCATTAGAGATATAAATAATAAATAAATAATTATTTTAATATAATATTAAAGATTAATATAAATAGTTAAAAAATTATGTAATAATTTATATTATTAATATAATAATTTCTCTCTCTCTCACACACACACACACACATATATATGTGTGTTCCATTTAGCTGGTAAAATAAAAAATATTATTTATTTATTAGCAAATACTTGTAGATAGTACTGTTACAAAACAACATCAACAAAGGTACTTGTACTTTTTAGCACATTTACATATCCCATCTTGCCTACGGCGCCAGAATCACTCATACACATACCAAACGCATAGACTTCCACATTTCCATGTGCATAAGGTGTCATGTACGTGTAAGCCAAACACACAGTCTTCATG